AAGTCAATGAGAAAGTGGGACAATGACAGCAATGAGCTGCCAGTGGGAAGCATGTTGTTGCCTGGTTCCACAATGAATCCATCTTCTATGCCCATGACCATCAAAAAATCTGCTGGGTCCACAGTTCCGAGACTGCAAAGCCATATGCCAAAGGGGATGGAGCATCTCTCATGATCACCGATTTTGTATCAGCTGATCATGGATGGCTCAAAGGTGATGGAGTAGATGTGCATGTTACAATCAAACCAGGCAAGGCTTGCGATGGCTACTTCTCAAATGATGAGGTTCTAGAACAAGCAACTCAAGCAATGAACATTCTGCATCAGAAGTATCCAATGGAAAAACATGTTCTCATTTTTGACAATGCTCATACACATTCAAAGCACACTGAAGATTCCCTATCAGCTCTCAAAATGCCTAAAAACCCCAAGCCTTGGGGTGTCACTGTCCCTTCCCACAACAATAGTGGGCAGATCATCTATGGCCCTAATGGGAAACCTTTGACTGTTGTCAAGCACATGGCAGACACAGTCTCTAATCGTGAAGTCCAGACTCTCCATTATCCCAGTGATCACCCAACATACCCTAGCTATTTCAAAGGAACGGCAACACTGCTTGAAGAATGCAGCTACACAAATGCCCAATCATTGCTGGCTCAGTGTGAAAAGTTCAAATGTCACAAGACATCTGCTCAATGCTGTTGCCAAAATATCCTCTTCCACTCTGATGACTTCATCAATGTACCCTGTCTCTTGACCACACACTGCAATGCAGCCGGCTTTGATGTGCTTTTCTTGCCAAAGTTTCACTGCAAGCTGAATTTCATTGAGCAGATATGGGGATTTTCAAAGTGCATATATCGCAAGGCACCATTCTCATCCAAGATTGAGGATGTACAGAGTTGTCATATCCGTGCATACCCGACCCCGACCCGACTTCCGGACCTCCACCCTCTTCACCTCCGGAGTCATACCCTACCGCTGCCGTTCCGATACTCACCTCTGGTCCTGGCAACACACCTCCTTCTACCCCTCACACCACCTCTACTCCTCCTCCCCTCTCCTCCCCTATCTCCGTCTGCTCCGATACTCACCTCAAACCAAACACCACCCCTCTCGCCACCCTCCTACTCCACTCCTCCTTCACAACACCTCCACCCTCCCATCACCCTCCTATGCTTCCCCCATCTGCTCCGATACTCACCTTCGGACCTGACAACTCTCCTTTCCGCCACTCCTTCTCCCTTACCTTTCCCCTCTCTCCTCCCTCTGGTACTCCTCCGCCACCCTCCCGCCAAGTTACGACCTTCCACCGCTGTCCCGTACTTCGTACTCGGACACCGCTCGTACCTTTGCTCCGAGCCTCCGTCATAGTCCCTACCTCAGACTTTGACTCCACCTCGGTCTTAGTCCATTGCATTGGTGACCTCATACTACGTAAACACCACTGCCAATATCCCTCGGACTTTCAACCCCGCCTCCGTAACCTCCGTAAGCTCCGCAACCCCCAAGCTTCGCGGATCACCTTCGGCACTCTCGCCGCTTGTAATGTATTTCTCGCATTTACCCCTCATCCCTATTTGGACTACTGCTTCTTCCCATTCTAGCCAGTTAGTCATCATCCCCACTTCTCCTCATCCTCCTGCCCCTCTGGGCCTCGCCCTCCCTACCTCCTTTCGGACGTATCACAGGTCCTGCCTTATGACCTTCGGTACCACTCCGCTTCTTCTACCCTTTGTTCCCGTTCAGATGTCTTCATTCCGATTCGGTTACCCTTTGTTTTCCTCGTGCTTTTGCCCCCTCCATTATATATATCGGCGCTTGTACATACTCGTTTTGGTTCAGTCCAAAATCGACCTGAAATGCCCCCTAGAGACTTCCTGCTCACCTACTGTGAAATTAAGGACCAAATGGACAAACAGCAATGGCACAGCGCTCCGCTTGAGTCGCTGAGGCCAAGGTCCCTCCACGCTAAGTCTCCGATTCCACTCCAGAGTCGTCTGTTTCCGCCCGGTTCTAACAAGAGTAATTTGAAGATGGCACTTGAGTCTGTGACCCTCCTTTCAATGTGCAGGTGCATGCCTAGCCCAATTCTTTCTTATCTCTCAAACTTATTTGCCTGCTTCTTAGATTTGTGAACCAATCTCTTAAATACATGGATGGCTACCATCGAGGATTGGATGGCAGAGAAGCAGCCTGGGTGGTGAAAAAGTACTGTGGACATCATCAAATACCTGCTGAAGCCACCTGTGAGATGATACAAGAGTTTATAGCTTCAAAATTGGATGTATAATTTGCCTCTTGGTTGTGATATCAATAAATTCACTGTACCAAAGTTCAGTGAGCAACTGTCTCTCAACTCACCAGTGGTGAGTCCATATTTTTGCACCCCACAGCCACATTCAGAGTTAGCCAATATAGTGACAACTTATGTGTGTCACCTATCTTACATATCTTGATTATCCATCACAGGGAAACTTGGACCAAATAATTCCAAGACTCCTCCAATGACTTCTTTAGCATTTTGGTCATTTATCTAGCCTGTATTCCCTTGGAATTCTGCTGAGACTGGCCCACACATGAGCATCTGCATAGTTCATATAGTCCCATGACTCCTGTCATGCTCAATAATCAGAATCTCCCTTAATATTTCCACAACCACTGGACCAATTAGGGTGAAATTCAACACTGAGTCTTTGGGTATTTTTCTGGATTTAATGACCCCAAGATTGTCCTCTTCTGTCACAGTCAAGTGCACAGACTTTGCACATGAGGACTTCTCAGCTTGAATTTGTCAGGGAATACACCCTGACCTAGCCCACACCCACACTTGCACCCACACTTGCACCTGCATCTGCATGCACACCCAGCTGTTGCACCCCCTGCATGCACCCTGTGCCAGATGCTCCATGCGGCCAGATGCCCCAGGCCCTGGGTCTCAGGCCTCATGTGACTTCCAGATATCTCTGGAAGTTTTTGATTATTGGGCCACTGTGGGAAGGTGAGAAGTTAGTTTCCTTCTCACCTTCTTACCCACAGCAGTGTGCCCTGGACAGGGCTGTTTGTCTTTAGGATTGTGGGCCATGGGGGGGGGGGGTCATGGGGACCTGTGAGACATCCCCTGACAGAATTTCTCCACCAAATCTCAACCAATTCCTTCGTGGAAAGGCTCTTTTGGTTCATACAAAAACCCTCTTTCTTCTTTCTTATTACTCCCCCTATAATTCCTTTTTTCCTAATAATGTACAAGGGTGGAAGCCCAATTTTGATGTATTTACCACATAAGGTTCCATGAAATTGAGCACACCCATTATGCACTCCTACAACATTCTGGTCAAGCATGATACATTAGCTTCAGCCTCTGTGAGGCATTCCTCAAGGTCTCCAGCCAGCTTTGTGAAGCCTGGGTTGGGGAATGTAGCCTTGGGCAGTCCTAGGTACCAGTGGGTGTATGCTGGGAGGAGGCATTGTAGCAGGGAAATCATCCCAACATCACACAGGCTCACAGGGGGGACAGTAGTCTCATGGCCTCACTGACTGTCACTAAAAGAGGTCCTAGAGTATGGTGTTTTAGGTGTCACGGCTGTATAGTTGTGGCTGTGCAGTCACAGGACTACCCCAACTACACTCACCACTGTATGTACATGAAAAGGCACTGTTTTGTGGTGCAAGGGTTTATCCCTGCAACAGCATTGCCAAAGTCCTGCTTTCTGGATGTGTAGGATTCTTTCCACAGCGACATCCATGTATTCATTGGCTGCATCCATGATGCAGTGGTTTTCATCTTCTAATCTATCCTCTGGGCTTGGTTCTAAGAATAACATTTCATATCAGAGGGTGATTGGGTTTGGTTTTCCTGGTCATGTAGGTCAGGTTCATCATATGTTCCATCCTCCAAATCTTGGTTCTGTACCAGTTCTGGTGAACTGGGACTGAGTGTTGGGATACTGGTGGTAATCAGTGTTTCTTGGATTGGGGATGGTTGTGGGGTGGTGTCTTGGTCAAAGTTGCCCAGTTGTGCTGTTCAGTTCCAGTCAGCCACTGTGTTCCCCCAGGGGCTGGGATCTTCTGAAATGTTTTGTCCAGTCTGCCCTCTCAGTGTGAACTTTTTGCCACCTCTGGGGAGTGCCAGGTGGGGTTGTTTGGGGGTGGTTGAGCTGGTGTTATACATTACCCTAGTCTGGCAGGTGTTGGTCCTATTCAGTCCTGTTGTTCCTCCTGGATCTGGATTTTTATGCTCATCCATTGTGAGGAGATCTTGCATGGGCTTTGGGGGCTTTGTGGGGGTTTTTGGAGTTATCTGTGTTGGAGATCAACCTCAGAACATATATTTGTGCCAACAATTCTAATCAGTGGTCTACTCTCATCTGGTCCAACCCCGGCTCCATTGCAGCCTCATCCCTATGGTTTTCTATAATCTGATCTTGCTAGATGTTTACCCTCTCTTACAGGTCACTAGCCTCAATTGAGTGACTTCTGGCTTGTGATCTCATGACTCTCATGCTCCATTCCCACACTCGTTAGTGCCAAGAGGTTTGTGAGAGGTTTGTGACAGCAAACAACATAGTTACATGGTCAATGAAAAACAAGAGAGAAGAATATTTCCTAGTCAGAAGCCAAACCAAGCATCCATCTAGATATCCTGACTCTGACATTCTTGCGAGATTTTAGAACCAGCAGGCCAATTCACCAACTTTGAACACCATGCACACAGCGTATCCTTCAAGTTAATAGCAGCCTTTGGGAAATATGTTTGTGATGAGAAAAGACTAAGTGATGCCAGTAATCACATACATGACTTTCCATGATTGCAGCATCTAGTTCCAGGCCAGCAGAAGAGATTGCCACCACCACAAGGAATCGCTCCTTTCAGGAAGCACCTGTGGGGTTACTGAATAAGAGTATGACCTTAGCTTTCATAGAATGATTCAACACAAACACAATATTCTTATAACACTATTATAGTGATGCATGTCAACAAGTCCAATCCAGAGATATCAATCAAACATATGTAAAATCCCCTCCAGCAGTAATGGTGACCTCTGCAAGGAGTAGATCTGTTGGGAAGGCAGCTGACATGATGATGAAGTTGATGAATATCTATCCCACATCATCATAGTAGCCTGCATGCAGCCACTCACTATTGTCCATGGCACTAGAACGAAAAGTCTATCAGCCAAATCGTTTTTTTTAGTAGAATAAAAATGTGAACCCACATAATAACTGTTTGGACAGCATCCACCATTCGAGCACAAGTCTTAGCAGGGAAAAGAGGCTGTGAGAGAACTGGTTAAGGAAACGATGACCTAGCCAAGAGGACTCACAATAGCCTTGCCAACATCCCCCTGAGGCTCCAAGGTCTTCAGAACCGGCTCCCTTGTGGGAGGAAGATGGCTCGGCTGCAAGCAAGGGGTGACCCTCAAGTGTGCCAAATGGTCCAGGAGCAGGACTCATATTATCACGGCGGTCTGGAATGGGCAAGGCTGGAACGATTGGGTTGGCAAAGCTTTTGGAAAAGAACAAGGCAAGGATGAAGGCAGGGAAAATCAGCCTAAACATTTTCAACATCATTGATTCATGCAGGTAGTACACTAGATCCCAAGAGGAGCTCTTTCTTGGGTGCCTTTCAACATGCTCATAGACTCATTTATATAGGTTGTGCAGCAGTTATACAGTCTCATTTTGATAAGAGGGTAATTATTGGTCTGCAGGGGTCTGACATGATTAGTCCACAGACCCACCATGGTAATCAGCCGCAAAATGGGGGTACTCCTCTGTCACCATCAAGGCCATGGGTTGCTTGGGACTGTGATCACTTGACCAAACAAGGTTAGTATCCATGCTCAAGCGGGATGATCAGCATGTCAGAGAAGCTTGCAACATAAATTGAGAATGCCCAAAAAAAAGCATAGGAATCACTGGTTCTTCCCACAAGCACACAGTCATCCAATGACTAAGGAAGGCTTGACAGCACTTCCATCCTTCCTGGCTGCTTGAAACCTTAGCTTCGCCCCCCCACCTTGTAATATCGCCCACAAAAGTGGCAGGCCCGATAGGTGAAACAAAGGGGGATCTTACATCAATGTCAGGAATTGACTGTACAAGAAAGGGATGAACGCATCCCCCCCAAAATTGGCTTGAACATACATTCCATCATGATCAGTTGATCATTTACATAAATGAGTTTTGTTATGTACGTGTTAGAATGGGGCGGAAACAGACGACTCCGGAGTGGAATCGGAGACTTAGCGTGGAGGGACCTTGGCCTCAGCGACTCAAGCGGAGCGCTGTGCCATTGCTGTTTGTCCATTTGGTCCTTAATTTCACAGTAGGTGAGCAGGAAGTCTCTTGGGGGCATTTCAGGTCGATTTCGGACTAAACCAAAACAAGTATGTACAAGCACCGATATATATAATGGAAGGGGCAAAAGCACAAAGAGAACAAAGGGTGACCGAATCGGAACGAAGACGTTGTAGGCGGGATAATCGCCCACACGCAGAGCCGGCTCGGATATCCATTTACACCATTCAAAAATCATCTTCATTCGTTCTATAATTCGATACAAACTTGGTACCTAAAAATACTCCTAATTCTTGCGAATCCGTCGATGTCAATATCGTCCCAATCGGTGGAGATTTGGTGGAGTTAAGTGTTGGGGAGGTTGGCCACGGCGCGGGTCACGGGATCTGGTCATGTGCGGGCGTGGGAAGTTCAATTTAGGCAAGCGGGAAGTCAGAAAAGCATGCTTCACACATTCCCAAGGCATCAAATAAATTGGGAAAAATGTTCTTTAGCCGCGTAAAGGTTGTTCCCAACCACATTTCCAGTTTCGGGTACTAATTTTGTGAAATCATTGATAAATTCTCGATTTTCTTCATATTTTCACATTTTTACCATCATTTTGATATATTGGATGATATTCTTTTATTCCTTTGATGCCCTTTTCAAATATTTCGCTTACGATGGGGTCCAGGAGCCATATGGCGCCAATATTTCCCATCAATCATTTCTAAAAATGTTTATTCCTTATAATCCTGTACATACCGGGATTGAAAATTAAGTTCTCCCCTCCTCTAAATTTCTCTAAGGCGCTAGGACGCGTCAGAGTTAGTGTGAGTGTGTTAGAAGTTCCAACAGTAGGAGTAAGGGCAGTCGTCTAACCCACAAAGAGTGGGTAGTGGACACTGAGCCCGGACCTTGCGGAATTTCCGGAGAATTTCCCGGAGTTTTAGGATCGAGGCCAGTGGAGAAAAGGGTTTTAGTGGAGAGTTTCCCCCACGAGCTTGGTTGGCGCTGAGAGCCGCTAGCTCTCTTGCATTTCTGTCGTACTAAGTTACGAAATACCGTTTAAAAAAAAAAAGAAGTTCTCCCTTCCCCCAATTTCTCTAAGGTGCTAGGACGCACTAGAGTGGGTGTGAGTGAGTGGATTCCAACAGTAGGAATAAGGGCAACAATCTAGCCTGCAACAAGTGGGTAGTGGATTTGTTGAGCCCGACCTTGCGGAAATCCCGGAGAACTCACCACGGAGTTAAGGATCGAGAGCATAGCGAGTTTAGTCAAGAAAGTAGGATTTTGGAGAGTTTGGCCCCACGAGCTTAGTCGGCATCGAGAGCCGCGAGCCCTCTTTCAACGTCCGAATGGGAACAAAGGGTAGAGGGGGCGGAGCGGTACCGAAGGTCATAGGGCAAGACCTGTGATACGTCCGAAAGGAGGTAGAGAGGGCGAGGCCCAGAGGGGCAGGAGGATGAGGGGAAGTGGGGATGATGACTAACTGGCTAGAATAGAAAGAAGCAGTAGTCCAAATAGGGATGAAGGGAAAACGCGAGAAATACATTACAGGCGGCGAGAGTGCCGAAGGCGGTCCGTGAAGCTTGGGGGTTGCGGAGCTTACAGAGGTTACGGAGGCGGGGTTGGAAGTCCGAGGAATATTGGCAATGGTGTTTACGTAGTATGAGGTCACCAATGCAATGGACTAAGGCCGAGGTGGAGTCAAAGTCCAAGGTGGGGACTATGACGGAGGCTCGGAGTAAGGTACGAGCGGTGTCCGAGTGCAAAGTACGGAACAGCGGTGGAAGGTCGTAACTTGGCGGAAGGGTGGCAGAGGAGTAACGGAGGGAGGAGAGAGGGGACAGGTAAGGGGAGAAGGAGTGGCAGAAAGGAGAGTAGTCAGGTCCGAAGGTGAGTATCGGAGTGGACGGGGGAAGTGTAGGAGGATAACGGGAGGGTGGAGGTGTTGTGAAGGGGGAGCGGAGTAGTAGGAGGGTGGTGAGAGGTAAGGAGGAGGTGTGTTGCCAGGACCGAAGGTGAGTATCGGAACGGCAGCGGTAGGTTATGACTCCGGAGGTGAAGAGGGTGGAGGTCCGGAAGTCGGGTCGGGGTCGGGTATGCACGGATATGACAGTACGAAGCCAAGGAGACATTGCATGCCTGGCTCCTTGGTGTGCACAGTGGTCATGAATGTGGGTCACGAAGCGTGCAGATACTGTAATGGAGCATTTCCAAAAGGGGTCCCATGCTTGAGTCGTCACAACACATGAGCTGTGGTTGCTTGGGACATATCCAACAATATCGGATTTGACATGCTGCAGCATGCTTGGCATAATTTAGTTCACATGCGGCAACTTGTGAGCGAACAATGGGGATACTGACAAAGAGGTCAACAGTTGCAGCAAATGGTTAATTGGTATCTTGGTTTTGCCAAGTTGGGGTTGGCTGTCAGGGCCTGGCCTCGGACTCGGAGGCTCCCTGACCTCAACCCCCATCTAACCTGTCCTCACACTATGCGGGGCATGAGATGTATAGTAAAAGGAAGGGAATATATACACTTGCCTATGCGGGGCATGAGATGAGAAGAAGGGTAAAGGTCTCATCTCCCTGCATGGTTGCTATATAAAGGAATGGGTCACATGCCCACAACTATACAGCTCCTATGTGTAGTGTGACCCGGAGGGAACATCCAGGTGGCAGTGCCCAGTAAGCGTGGGAACGTTCTGGGCGAGTTGCATGCCCAGAACTGTGGCTGTGACCTGTGGGAACATTCTGGGCAAGCTGCTCGCTCAGAAAGTTCCCACGCTATCCCGTGCGCGTGGATACACAACACAGAAAGGCAACAACAAGGCAACAATGAAGGAATGGGAGGAAGGGATTGGTTGGGGAGCCTGGGGCACCCTAGGGCAGGGTGCTGAACCCTGACATTGGCATCCACATCACCTATAAATGGTTGAGCACAGCCCCAATGTCATCTTCATCAAAACTCTCACAAGTCCTGTTGAAATAACCACCTCAGCCTAACAGGGCATATGGTGTAATGGCTGTGCACACTGAGTTCGCAATCCAGAAGACTGGAGTTCGATTCCCAGTATGTCCAACTTTTAGGTTTCCCTAAAAGACCACATGCAAATTCCACCAAGTCCGCAGCTATCCAATGCCAGTGAATGCCAAGCCCAGATACGATTATCAGATGAGGCTAACTGGCTTCCTTTTTCCATTGAATATGGCCATTTATATTTAATTAACTTACTCTTCTCGTGAGGTGAAGCACTTACATACATGATAAAAGCCTAAGCAGCCAATGAGGAAATTTGTATCCGGTGCAACTACTGGACTTATCCAGAGCTCCAAATTCTTATGATGTAAACCAGCATGACTGGGCAAATGACATAAAATGGACAAGCCTGGTATCGAACCCAGGACTTCTAGCATGCATCCATACACTACTCGCCCGTTATGCCAGGGGGGGGTACCCCTTCCCTGATGGTTTGGGAGATCACTTGATCCCTTCCTCCAACAGCCAATTCTCTTAGCCAAGCACTCATATAAGTCATAATCATACAGTGGTTTTGTGAGAAAGTGGCAGTCAAAAAGTGAAAGGGTATTGAACCCTTTCATAAAAAATCAATTGAGAAAATGGGGAAATAAATATTGGGAATTTTTATTTTCAATTCAAAAGAACATGTCAATATAGCAAAATAAGTGCCCTATGGCCATTCCCCGTTGATGATATATTGACAATGACCGCACTGCTGGACCAGCTCTGCAACCACCACCACTGTTTCATGGGTACTAGCCACACCACACCAGACACAAAGCAGCTCATCACCCTGATTTCTGAAACCTTCTCTCCCAAGGAGATCACCCACATTAGTGAATGCATGGTTCACTGGATTCCTCACAGGCAAGGTATCCCTTTGACAAAGTCGGCAACCACGGCAAGTCACAAACTGAATAACTTGGGTCTGGACTATAATAGAGGCTGGTAACCTGCCTAGGTCTGGACGTGATTTTCATGGAACACTATGGTATTTACTTGCAATGTCCTTGTGAGCTACTTGCCACATACCCTACTGCATCACCCCGATGCCTTAAGACCGATTTGTTCATTCTACAACCCAGACCAGCGAACTGGTCCTGCAAATATCATCGGCATCTTAGAAGACAAATTGCAGTCTTCGAAGATGCTGGAGTGATGGAGGTGTTTTGACTTGGACCATTGTTCTCGACCTCCCACTTGCACTACTTTCCAAATTCTCCAGACAGCCCTTCAGATCACGAACTGATTCATGCCTCAGCACCATTGAAACTCCATTTCTTAATTATGTCTCTCAGAAGGCATGGCCATCTGAGGTATCAACTTTAGGACAGCAATGCAAAATGGCGCTTATTCTACTGTATTGGCATATAATTTTTTGAATTGAAAATAAAAATTCCCAATATTTACCCATTTTCTCAATTGATTTTTTACGAAAGGGTTCAATACCCTTTCACTTTTCGACTGCCACTTTCTCACAAAACCGCTGTAATGCGATTATATAGGATACATAAAAGGAGATCGTGGGTGGTCACTAGTGTCAAGTTCCGAAGCCTGTCTGGGGTTAGAGACGTGGACATCCCTTATTTAAAGGGGCATTTCCATGATGGTTGAAGCGCTTTATATGGATCAGCGCGTTACGACATTGGCTGCGAAACAACAGGCATTTCGCCTAGGTGAAAACTGCACTTCGAATGGTTGCCATGCGGGAGGGCAGCAAGAATCAGTACCTTAGCGAACCCGAGAGCAACCACCCAACCAGGAAGCGCAACATGGGGGAGTAATACGCTACATACATAAGGTACAAGGACAGCAGCCCGAGTTGTGCATCCTTCCCGACCCACAAATTCCTCGCCTGTGAACATTTCAGCGACATAGCCGACAGCTACTGTCAGCTCCGGAGATCAGTCGGAAAGCTCGTTAATCATCCAGGCACCATTCAACGCCGCCATGAACCGATTAGAAGTGGATCTGGCAGTGATTGCATGGGTTAGGATTGAGGGTGCCCTCCCTTGAACCACCATAGCCTCAGAGCGGAATAACATTTGGTGCCTTTATTAACGTGAATGTTGATTCCAGGGGAGATGTGCAACATAATCATACATTGTGGGATGGGTTCGTTCAAAGCTTCAAGCCCAGATCAAAAGTTGCCAGAGGTTCGATAGTAATACAAGAATGACAATACTTGACAATCTCATAGCCAAATCAGAGAAAGGACCGGTACGATCACTGTCCCGAAAAAGACTGTCAAATCTGGATAGTTGAGCGTATGACCAGATGCTGAGGTTGTGGTAGAGACAGCGGTGGAAGATGCAACGGAGGCGCCAGCGGCAGGGGCAGAGGCCGCGGAACCCGCAGCGGCAGTGGTACTAAGAGTGGTGGGGGTCGGAGTAGGTATGGAGGTTCGAGGGGATGTATAACCCGGAGTAGCGGGGCTCGAACTGCTGGCATAACAAGAATGATCCGATCCGCATGCGTATCCTGGATTACAGCCTGGAATCGATATAGTCATCGAGGACACTATAAGTGGCGAGTGTTATTACATACAGCTGACACCGGGCTGGCAACATGTGTCCCCCCGTGGGCAGTAATGAGCAGTACCACAAGGTGTCCCACCATTCGGAATGCAACTGGAGAATAAGCAATAACGACCATGAGAGAGTGAATTATGATTCATATAATCGACGGACCCATTTTCATAGCACTATTCCAGGCGACATGAGCGGAACGATACTGAGACGTAGGGCAGCATGCGTATAGAGCACTCACATACAACCCTGGATTGCAATGACCGTTCCCACAGGGCACTCTGCCATTCAGGATGCACTAGGTTCGAGAACTACCATGCATCCATGAGTAACCACATAATGCTCACAACTGGATGGCTCACGAGTTTGTCAAGGAGCACTAGGGTGGATAATCACTCAGATTATGCAGCCGAAGCGAAGTGGAAAACTGACGAAATAACCCTGCTGACAGCACCCACTGTTGCTACCTGTGCACTGGGGAAGCACAGAAAAGAACACTCCTAAAGTATTTCAAGGAGTTGACCGTACGCATGCGCTCCCATCGGAACAGCACCATTTGGGAGGACAGAAGACTTGATGGAAAAAGGGGGCTAAGCGCCGGCTGGTTCCAGAAACAACTTATCCCAGAGGGGTGACTTACAAGAGCCTGTTCCACATGAGTCCGCCGCTGCTACAAGTGCTTGGAAGTTGGTCCTGTTGTGGAAGGTGATAGAGTGATGAGCACCGGGGGACCATTAATTGGTCCAAGCGCTGGGTTTGTATCGCGGCGGTCGGGAATACGTAAAGGTGGAATGCAGGGGTTGGCAAGGCCTGTTGCGACGAACAAGGTAATGATCAAGGCAGGAGCAATTTGCCAGGGGTTTGCCAGCATTTGTTTCAATCAAGCCTACTTTTCGAACGGCGATAGCAAAAGCCTAAAAATCGATTATTCACAATCTCCTAAATGAGCAGTGCCTTATTTGTACCTGCGGTACGAGAACATCTTCCATTGGGTGGGATACTCTCTGTTAGAATACTGGTGCGGCATTCAAACGATCGGCGCGCCCAAGCGAGGTCTAGAGGATTCACTGCGTTTAGAGGAGAATTATTCGCTGTACTATTCTGCGATGAATAATGCATGAGAGACATATGAGTATGACATCGCTGATGTGGTTGGACAGCACGGTACGATCGGATGATGCCGAGGCCACGGCCATCGTCACTAGTGTAATGCCACCTCGTATACCCCGGCTGACTTTATTCAGTGGTCCATCCTGCTCACTCTGTGACGTGTGTTTGAACAACATTCCATTCCCCTAAGGGTTTCTACCATTTACTGCCATTCAGACTGCCAAGGAAGCCCTCGCTGAAATTCGAGTCAATACACCTTTCCAATTGTCCATCATAAATATTCAAGACGAAGCACAGAAGGAGTGGAAGCGAAAATACGGTGAGAGCTTTTCACCATATATTAGCGTGGCACAGATATCAGCGGTACTCACTTTCTTCTTTGCTCGGGCTGAGCACAGTCTATGACATTCCAGTCTTGCACATAGAAGGCGAACTCGTGGCCAAGGGGAGATGGGGGAAGCCCGAAGTCGAGGAATCGTTGAGAAAATGGACTCTCAAGCAGGGAAAGCCGCCATCAACTTGATGGGTTCCGATTTTGAAGGTCCTTGTCGCTTCCATACTCCCAGTTATCCTGAAGTTCACGATTGAATGATAGGCGCATCGTTCTATGTTGATGTTGTGGGTGAGGGGACAGAAAAGCATCATAATCTTGTCACGGATTCCGATCTCGAATATCTTTATGGCATACCAACTACTCTGGGTGATCCTTTCAGTGAACACGCGTCTCATATCAGCAAACGCTCATGTTTCAATTGTGGCTCGACTTTCCATTCCTTTCACGCTTGTCCAGATCCTAGGGATCCTGCGCGCATTGCTCTCGCGAGAGAGGAGCTTAAGGAGCTTCGACCCAGCACATTCCGCTTCGGCTATCGAATCCATGAGTGGTATGAGCAACGCGACAAGGTTCTCAAGTGGGTAGATGAGTTTTCTCCTGGGAAAATCACTGTGCCGGAACTGCGAGAAGCCTTGGGGCTTGAAGATGATGAACTGAGGGATGCGTTGGAAATGAATGAGGATTGGGCGGTGAGAGTGTTGCAGAGAAGGGAAGATGAATTGCCTTGGTATGCTGGAAGAGACGAAGGATGCGATGGTGGGATGTTGAAGTGGGGATACCCACCAGGCTACTACAGCATTGAAGGTGGAGCATATTCAAGTCAAATATTTTGGTGAACTTCATGATTCTGATAGATCCTTACGAGGCAATGAGGCGTCGCATCTTGGAGATCTTCGATCCCCCAGCTACCAAGTGCCTTCCCCGAACGGAAGAAGAGACTCAGCCGATGTCTCTGCCCTGGGAACGAGCTGAGGATGAGTTCTCTGTCGAAACAGCGTTCATATCTCTGCCACCTGAGACCCAGGCTCAAGATCAAACACAGCGTACAGATGGGGAAAGCTTTCCGAGGTGGATACCATCAGTCGTATCTCAGGCCCTCTCTTGGAAAATTTCAGGTGAAGTCGAAGAACCGCTTGCTGAAGCGTGCAACCCCACAGGACCAGAATCGGCACCAGGCAGCAATCATTCCACAAGACTATCCACACCTCGTCGTTGGGCGATATACCCAACCACCCTCTTTCAATGGGCTGCACTCCCTGTCTCACCAATCACTCACCCTCTTCCTTCCTTCGATCATCAAAATCGGAAACCCTCTGCCATGACATTGAACGATGCGTCTTGGTTAACTTACACACCTGATCGGGCTGCCTTGTGGAAGCAAATTGTCCATGGCACCATGACTACATCCTCAACTTCCGGAACAATCTATCCTTGGCGGCGTCCAGAAATGTGGACATCCTATCTCCACGCTGCTAGCCACCTCCAAATCTCTTCACAACCCCTTCCCTCTTCCGGATTTCATAGTTCACCACTGCCCTGCACCTTACACCCTGCAGCAGTTCCGAATACTGATGCTAGTGATGACTCACTGAGCATCGAGATGGACATGTCGGACTGAGACGTTGAGAGTCATCACGATGCAATTCGCTAATCTTGCACATCATGGGCCGTTGGTCCCTTCTGCTCAATGTGGTAGCTTTCAGACGGGGAGTAAGAGCGTATCCGCAAGCAAGTTTTTACCAAGCTTAGTTGAGGCGACGGCGAAAATGAGGGGTTTTTACATACATTCAAATATCCAACATAGATCCTGACATCCGTGTGACGCACCAACTACAGGCCATCAAAGCAGACATCCACCAGGCACATTCACGCTGCATTGTCCAGCCGAGGACTTTGAGACCAGAAATGACTTCACATTAGGACTTTTGCAAATGTAGGAGCCTGACCCGGAGCGATCACAAAAATCCATTAGGCGCCATCTGGGGTGCTTGTATATGGATCCCGTTCCCTTGGCCACTCATACCACTTCCATATTCGCGTTCATCAAAGGAGACGTCGTGCCCAGGCTTACGTGCCGTGGCCACCGTGCGACTTTTATGCAGGCGAGTACGGTGATTGGCCCCAGACGCGGTCGAACTTCCGCCATTCCCAGTAGGATTATATAGGGAGGTGAAGGAGCGATGGATATCGGATTACATTGCAGAGGCTCTACATGCATGGATTGATGGGATTAGTGATGGGGATGGGAGTCTCCCGATCAGAATGCATTGACGTAGGTGGGGGATTGATATGCGGAGGAAGAGGCATCCAGGGAGCCAGACGATGTCGGCCGTACGTTGCACAGATAGGATTTTTACCTATACTCTCATTGTAATACGTACATAAATATGCACAGACGTACTGGTCTCGATCGTGGGTGTACTTATCCGCTGGAAGGGTTGGGATTGCCTACTCGTTACAAGAATGTTTGTTTAGTAAGCCAGTATTTAGGATACAACAGTGCATGGATCATCTGGAGCAAGGCACAACGGGGGGGGGGGGGTCGTGGAATAAGGGGGAGAGCGAAACGCTACCAAAAATTGTCGTAGTGGAAATCATCAAAAAAGGGTTCACTAAGCCATATAATTTTCAATGCCATCATTTGGAGCGTGGGGCTGACGTACTAGGCGGTCCCTATAACAGAGAGGAAGGATTTGAGCGTGGCAGTTTTTGTCATGAGCGGATGGATGGATTGAGATGTTCTGATTTTTTTTTTTCAAACTCACCAGCGCCCATATAGGAGCCACTACGCTGTTGCCATCGAACGTAGCAGCGGAATACAATAGTCGATTATTGAATTTGAGGTTAGCGACTGAGTCTGTCTCCACCGTTCTGTGTGGTGTGGTGTGTGTGGAACGGCCGCGTTTAACGCAACGAAAAACCCCCCAGGATGTTGTTGAAAGATGATACGTACATGATGACCCAAACGCTATTACCACTTCTATAACCTTTTAACTGCACGTAACCGTACTTGTTATCGCTCGCGAATTGCATAGTTTGCCGAATATCTAATGCAAGGGATTTCATATCAACATGAGTTTTATCGGAGAGATATAATGGGGGGGGAGTTACGAAAATAACCTTGATGGAATGTGGCAGCATCTTTGTACCCTTGATCTCCTCCAATGCCAGGAAGGATCTTTGCAAGTAACGATCCATCCGGATTCGTCCAATTCCCTCTGTCAGGCGCGCGCGCCCAATAATGATACTCTCAGCAAGCTTCCTCTCTAGCACATCGCCTAGGAAGGAGTTTTCACAATCCTAAAGACATACCCGAGTACCTTGACGCTGACTCTACGCCCGTGAGTAACGTTGAGAGCGTGGCCGACATTCGCCTCGTAGATGCCGTTTGCGTAACCCCAAAGTTCACTCGGAGGGGCTGGGAACGGTAGCGGGCCGTTCCACAGGGCTGAGGCAGGAGCCTGAGGTTGGTCAACTTCCCATGGCGTAGGGGCATTGGAAATGAGGCCAAAGTAGGCAAGGGCTTGTAAAACTACGGTAAAGAACATCTCAAGGCTTAGAGAGAGGGGGGAGAGTGTGTTTGGCGAGAAACGGCCAATGAGGACCCCCCCCCCCCCGTGCGCATGGTTTAAGTATTTGCCACAATGAACTCATTTGGGCAGACATTTTTTTCCGAAGGAGGCTGGCAAGCTAGGGGTAACCCCTTCAAAGGAACAATTGGAACAGAATGGCAAAACCCTTTTTGCACGATGGCGCTTGGATGATTCCCTGGTGGTGGCTCAACTTCGGTGGCTGGCGGGCGTTGTGGCTACTCAAATCTTATTCAGTTGTTACATGTAACAACTTACATCAAGTGCCAACCGCTCTTTTTATAGTAACTAGTTTGACGGATACTCTATCTAATAATATTTACAAAAGTCACAGGTCCATTTTCATCCAAGTTCTCCGGATAATACCATCCAAATTCATGCGGGGCGCACAGATGGACGCGCACGCCACTTCAAATGGATTGCCCAATTCCTAAGCTAAGCAGCATGCACACACATGCTTCTTTTCGGACATTGAGCGTATTGCAAATGCAGAGATAACAGACAGGATCGGACGGGATGATGTGATGTGTACAGTGTGTGGGCGGCCGATATGGCCCGATGGCTCGCAATTGCAGCCACTGTAATTGCATAATTCTATCGTTGGAATAGGACAGAACGTTGAAATTGCCAAGAGACTGAGTTGACCTCTGAAACACACACGTGACAATCGGAGCCACTTAGGCAAGGAGAATTCGCTTAGTATTACCTGATCACACGCATGGCTGCGAGCTTATTGAGTATTATCAATTCCACCGCCTACCTCGTGCTCAGCCCGGGGATCAACTTCCTAGATGCAAAAATGGACACTCTCCATTATAAGTATTCCGCCACCCGGCAATCCCAATCTCCGGTATGCATGTCCGCTCCCATTACCCTCCCATACTTCTTAGCGTAATTACAGTAGCTCAATGCAGATCCGCCTTGAACACATCGACCAAGTCGAAATGTGTTCAAGGGTCCTGAGTGCGAACATGATATCTTGATAATCATCACTACTGAAAAACTCCCACTCTCGGAAATGATCTATCTGAGAAATCCGGCGCGGCGCTACTCAACGAAAAAGGCTCCATTGTTCACCATCACCATGCTAGTTGCGAGTGAGACTCCGAGTCTGACGGTGTGTCTATCGATGCAATCGAATGGAATATGAGAGTAGTACCTTGGCCCTAACGGGTGCACCCCTGGCAATCTTTGTCAGCGTCAAATTTGAACCCAGCGAGGCAAGGGAGTGGGCTCCGACTCGCTGCAGTGGTAATACGGAATAGTTCCATACTCGGTAGTAATATTACCCCGATGATTAGACACGTCATTGGTGGGGCCTTCTAAACCGACGTTCACGCTTACATAGTATACAAGTGGTGCTGTCCACGCCACTCGAGCAAGCCCTCGATTAAGGAAACATGTGCAGTTGCCAACTTTTTCGGTTTTGCTCTTAATTTGTGGCGGCCGGATAGAAGCCTCCGATTTAGTCAAAACATCGGGATGCTCTTCCCGCGCGCTGGTTTCAATCGCGGCTGGCACCCGTTGAGGTAGCTTTGGACGTTGCGCGATCTGCTAGCTGCTAGCTCACACTTTGGGTTCATGCATGTTTGCCACATTCACATTCCAGAAATGTTAGGTACCACCCCCTAGCTCCAAAGCTGAGGCCAGATAACATTCTGCATCTGGGGTGAAAACTTTTCACAGAATGGACGCTGAAGGCTTCCTCGATCCAGTACTGTTTCGAAGAAGCGTTCCTGTTGATGCATCTCGGATATGCACGTTCTGATTCAGCGGAGGTTACATATTGCCCATCTGGTGAAAACGGAAACGGACCAGATAGGTAAATCATGATCCTCCAACTGTTGGAAGGGGGGGGGGCTCCCCTGTTATTGTTGTATCCCAAACTCGCACAGTGTGATGGTACGAGGCCGAGGCCACTGGACGAAGGCCATCAGGGCAAAGATGTCACAAGATTCACCACGCGAGTAACGTCCGTTCAATTCTCGAAGGGCTCGCTCCCATTACCGCATCCCAGACATGCACCGTGCAATCGGACGAGGCCGAAACCAGATGAATGCTATCTGGTGGATATGCAACAAGAATTGGCCTAGCTCACTAGTATATATGTGTTTCCCGAAGAAGCACTCTCGTAGTACGTCGCTGCATCCTGGCAGATCCGCACAATGCATGTCATCCGTACAGGTTGAGGACTAGATGACAGCCATCTGGAGAAAAATACCATGGGGCGGGGATCACTCGGCCGGCCGTGGATCGTCCCCCGCTTGCGGTGCATGGCCGTGGTTGACTGCTATCCATTCCATGGAGAAACAATCCAGCACCCAGCAGTACACATCGTCGGAAATATTGTTGCACCCAATGCGCTATATACCTGAAGGAATAAATGAATGGCTACATATACTTCCAAGTAGAGATAAAGACGAGCTAGGCCGCTAATATATGCATCCCGGGCTTGCTCGATCGACCAGTTGGCACAAAGCTGCGATTAATTACATGGCATATATTATATATTGTTGCATGACGGGCTTTGGCCGGTATTGAACCCCTGAAAAAAACACAGGTGAGCCATGAGCCAATAGGAGCCATCGTTCGATCTATAGTTTTTCTCGTGCCTCGGCATGCTTGATTAATTTCACCCATGCATGATGCCCATGGCCACAAAACCAGTGAAGAATTAAGAAGCACTCATTATTTCATCATCTTGCGAGTCCAATTCGATCGCAAAGAAGAGTAAGTATTCCAATTATATTAATGGTAACATATTGCAAACTTCAGCCGCATCGCCATTATATTATCTTTCTGAATTCACTTTGGAGATTGCATGGGAATGTCCATTGTTCATTTGGAGGTGCCAAATTGTCCGATCGGTAGATCATCCATGAGCTGCAGCCTGCACTAGCTGTCCCCACTAGTTCCAGAGTTCAGAGTTGACAGCACAACCTCAACCCCACGTACGTACTAGTCCCGGAAAAGGCCTGCAGTGGGAAATGTATATACCGATGTGTCATGTTTGAATGAGGAGGATCATAGACGCACTGGCGATGCCAAAAGAGTTGATATGTAAATGGGTGACAATCTCAATCTTCTTGATGACTTTCCAGCGATGGTACCGCGCCCGGATCAATTCGCTGGAGATATATATCAGGATGTTACGAGTCACAGTGCAGCATGGATTCATCCTTCGGTGGACAAGAGGACTTGAAATGTATTGGGTGGCGAAAAACTCTTGCATGATATGCAGACTCCTGCATGGGCTCAAACGGATCAGTTACATACGGTGACTACCATGGCACGCGGGTCTCTCACATGGTGATGTTTTATAGCGTCGAGCACGGACTTGACAGCCTTCGCCAACTTTAAGTCTGCGATTAAACCAGCAAATTTTAGAATTGCATGTCATCAATTTCTCTTGCAATATGCATATTATGACAGAACTTTGATTGTGGTCTCGTCTCAACAGCACCGATTGCGGGATGGTTCAGAGACCCTCTCTCATTTAGTGCCCCGAACCTGTGCATCAACATGTCCTGAATGGTGGAAGCGGAAAACCAATAATTGTCCTAGTAGTGAGTTGGATCAACAGATGACGGCATAGAGTCGGACATTCACACTTTGGTTGGCTTGTGACCAGGTTGCGATAGCATGCAGAATTGGGTAGCCACGATTAAAGGAGCAGGAGTGGGGAAGACCAGGATGGCATCTACGCTCGACTTCTTGTTGGCGTAGTCAAGAAGGTGGTCGAGTCTACCAGAAACAGCAGCCTATCGAGTAGTACTGCCTCTTAGCTGCGGTAAACTCATCAAAGGGTTCCGTTACATACCGTATCTATTACGCGTGAGGTTCCCAAATCCCGTGCCCCAAACAACAACAACAAGGGAACTTGGTGGTCCAGTCTGCGATCCAACTGAAGGTAGAACTCCCTTCCATCGGCTCGAGTGACACGCATGATGAGGAATCGATGCGGCACCCCTTGAAAATCGCCTATCGTTGAACGGACACACGATCCTGGCATTAACAGCACGACAACTATTGAATAAGCTCTCGCAGAATGTTCGGGCAGATATGGCCTCGAGTCCAAGCATTCGGCGAAGAAAGCGCCTGCCGACGCAATGCTAGCGACCTTCTTCCTTAAAGACGATGTGAACGATGTAGAAGATGTAAATGACGGGGCAATGATTGTGGATGAACCATCGGACCAAGTGGGTGTTAGCCGGGAAAATGTCGGTCACGAAACGATATTGTTGTTGTAGAAGATGTCTTATCGGGCAGGGGAGGAGAAGAGTGAGGGCTCGATTCCCTCATCAAGCTTAAAACTCGGATGAGGATGAGTGAGGATTCAAGGCATCATAATATCGATTCTTACTTCGAAGAGAAAATCGTCGACCGAGGCCGGTTCTGGGAAAGCAGAAGGCTCGGTCGCTACCGGCAACAAAGCTCGGCAAAGTCGAGCTTGAAGCGATTGTGTCATGGAAAGATCCTTCGGCGGTGCCACGCTGCCAAGCCGGTAATAACATAGAAATCGTTTCTGATAAGGATTGAACAAGGGGTACCCAAGGCTCTGCAAATGGCTGACTCACTATCGACGGGATCGGTAGGATTTTCGGTGGGATTTTCAGCGCCAGCAACAACATTTCTGGTGGTTTGGCGTTGTTGCAGTGGGCATAATAGAGGTCTGGGGTGGCCTTTCATCCTCCGGAAGAACCAACGCAGGAACGTTCATGTTTCTAGCTCAGGTGTTAGATGTCCAATAACATGCGCTGGATAAGAGCCCTTTTTCGCAGGATTCTGGACCGGGAGCGGTAGATTGCAATAAGCGTTGGTCAGCTGCCTAGCAAAAACATCTCATGCAGAACTTGTGTGCCAAAAGTTGCGCGCGGAGTACCCTAACAGTCGCAAACTAACAATTGCGCGCGAAGAATCTATTGCAGCAAGTCGCAAAATAGCGCCATACTAAATAAGTAATCAAACAACATTATAATAGAATACAAATGCTTTTGCCTTTCCTTCGTTCACGACTACGTCCCCATACCCTCTTCCAGTTCTTTAAACTACCTAGAACCCCCTTCAACAGCATGGTTGTCCTTTCGAGACCAGCGACCTTCAATGCCTGGCGCGACGTGCATAGTTCCTACTCGGAGTTTACTAAGCCGATGGTGCAATCCGCGCAGGACGATCGCCAGTATAAGCTTATAACGCTAGATAACGGGTTACAGGCCCTCCTAATTAGTGACCCTTCTACTGACAAGGCCGCCGCCAGTCTCAATGTTGGTGTTGGACACCTCAGCGATCCCGACGACCGTCCTGGACTGGCACACTTTTGTGAACATTTGCTCTTTCTTGTGAGTCTTAGGATCTTCCTGGTGTCCTGAGATCCACACGAGAATAAGGTTCTTTTGAATGACCGCAACAATCTGTCCTCAGGGTACAAAACAATTTTCCAAGGAGAACGCATACAGCGAGGTATGTTTCACGAATTTTCACATACAATTCTCTTATAGACATTTCTACAGTACGTTTCCCAACATGGGGGTGGGACTAATGCATATACATCGACCACGAACACCAACTATCATTTCCACATCTCAGCATCAGCTCTTGAAGGGGCTTTAGAGCGCTTCTCTGCATTCTTTCATTCTCCCCTATTTACCCCTTCTGGTACTGCGCGAGAAGTCAATGCCGTCGATTCTGAAAACAAGAAAAACATGCAGAACGACCTGTGGCGTCTCTTCCAGTTAGACAAGTCGTTAAGTGCAACTGGGAATCGTTGGAGCAAGTTTGGGAGCGGAAATTATGAGAGCTTGATGGGTCAGAAGAAGCCGCAGGAGGATGATGTTGTGAGTGGCACGGCAAATGGCGCGGCGAATGGCGACCTTCCCACCAGCGCCAATATCGCTGAAGCCGAACCCGAAGCGGAGGATGGTGGTCTGGCGGGGCGAGAGGTTCGCCGGATCTTGTTGGACTGGTACTCAAAGCATTACTCGGCAAACAGGATGACATTGGCTATACTCGGAAAAGGTTGGTAGATCACCGCTCAAGTGAAGCCAGCCGCATTATCTAAAAACGATCGAGAACAGAGCCGATCGAGTCCTTAATTCAGCTGACGACTAGGTTGTTTTCTCCAATCCCTAATCGGAATCTACCCCCTCTCCGTAACGATGCGTTAGAACCATCTTCCTACCCGAAACTAGTGTCCCCTTGGGGTCCAGATGAAGAAGGGGTCAGCACTTCTGTCTTTCTACCATGGCGTGGATGGCTGCTAACAAGTCTTTAGACAACGATTTTTGCCAAAACCGTGATGGATTTCCGTGCCCTAGAGCTTCGATGGGTAGTCCCTTGGAGCGCACCACTATATAAGACGAAGGTATGTGCATTCTGAAGTATTGTGAAACTTCGGCTCACGGGTGCGCAGCCAGCTCGAGTGATCAGTCACTTCCTTGGTCATGAAGGCGTGGGGTCCATTTGCTCTGTTCTCAAGAAGCAAGGTTGGATCACTGCACTCCACAGTGCATCGTCCACTGGAGACAGGGAAAATGGCTGGGATTACTTCCGTGTTTCGATGAGCCTGACGAAAGAAGGATGGGGTAAGCCATTTCTAGCCTTTTTTTTTTCCTTTCACGCCACGCTAATACCTTCATACACAGCCAAGTATGCATCCATCGTCCAAACGGTCGATGCGTACATTAAACTGTTGCGTTCCTCACCCATTGCTGATTGGCATTTCAATGAAATGAAGACCATTGCCCAGACTGACTTCCGCTTCAGCGAAAAGACTTCCCCAGACCAATATGTGACGCATTTATCAGAGGTTCTGGCCAAACCTTACGCACGCGAGGACATTCTTAGCGCTGGAACACTACTATACGAGTTTGACGAGGTTGCCGTGCGAGAGACCCTGAGGGGGATGACTCTGACCAAAGCAAGACTTATGATGATGGCGCGCGACGATGCAGACTGGAGTGCAATCCACATAGCTAGGGAGCCACTATTTGCCGACGGCAAGAATGCCGGTAAATGGGAGAAGGAGAAATGGTATGGCACTGAGTACCTGGTTCGCCCCTTGAACGTGAGCGATGGTCTTGTTGTGGAGGGATTGGCCATGCCAGGATCCAACGCGTTCATCCCAACCAACCTCGAGGTGGCTAAAAAAGAAGTTACCGAGGTACGTAGGCGTGAAATTGTTTTGAAAGATACATATGCTCACCATCCCTACTTTCAAGCCGCTTAAGCGACCGTTAAAGATACGAGAAACTCCGCTATCCACACTGTGGTACAAGAAGGATGATCGATTTTGGGTCCCAAGAGCAACCTTTATTGTACGAATCAAAAGGTCTTATTTCTTTGATTGTTTGTTGGCCCCGCGTTATTTATTAAGCAAACATTCCCCTTTTTGCTTAGCCCTCTGTCAGCTATAACACCCCGGAACCGTGTAATGACAAGGTATGCGACTCAAGTGCCTGGGAAATTGTTTATTATTGGTCTAACATTTCATCTCCAGACTCATCGGTAACCTCGTCGAAGATGCTCTTATGGAAAGAACATACGATGCCGATCTCGCTGGCCTCAGTTACAGGGTTATGGGGGAAAGCGATGGCATATATGTCTCGGTCACTGGTTACAGCGACAAGCTGCCAGTTCTGTTGCGGACAATTTTGACGGAAGTCAAAAACTTCGTCGTTGATCCCCAGCGATATGACGTGCTGAAGGAACAGGTGACGTAACGTTTCTTCTTTGCTTTACCATACGCTTTTTTCAATATTGCCTCTCAATGCCGGCTTTTCCTGACCGCTGAAATTCAACTTAATTTCTTTTCCTCTTGCATCCCTCTGCCTCCCCTTTTTCATTCCATCCCAAGTCCATCATTCATCCGTGTTTACTAATCCCCATTCCGTGTCTAGCTTCGCCAAGAGTGGGAGAACTCCGAGTTGGACCAGCCACATACACTCGCTGAGCTCAAAATTGCACAAATCATCCGAGAGCAAGCATGGAGCGCTCGCGAAAGATTGAACGAGCTTGAGTGTATGTTTCACTTTGTCATTCCGAGTTACACCTGTTGAGGCTTCAGATGTTCGTCCAGTCGTGGCTGCCGAAGACGTTCAGAAGCACCTACAGATTTTACTCTCACGTACGCACTCCAAAGCACTCATTCATGGAAACGTTTCGAAGGATGTAAGCATCACCGTTCCGTAACATAAGCAAGTGCACCGTTAATTGATCTTTCTTTTTTCATTCGCCGCTCCTCGCTGGTGGTGCATCTAGAGCGCCATTTCAGTTATGCGGGATGTGGAGGATATATTAAGTACCCGAGGTCTCACCCCAATCGAACAGATATCCACACGAAGCCACATCCTGCCACCAGGTTCGTCCCCTTATTTCCCCTTTGGTTAACATGCTAATGAAACACGACATTTCGGAAACTTTATCGATATCACCTACGTCCATTGGATTTTTACAACCAACGAACAGGCAAAAGCTTTGTAGTCGAGACACCTGTTCCCAACAAGGATGACGTTAACTCCAGCATTATGTATTATTGTCAAATTGGAGATAGCACCGACGTCCGTCTTCGATCCACGGCGCATTTGCTGGCGCAAATCACCCGCGAACCCTGTTTCGATCAACTTCGAACGAAGGAACAGCTAGGGTATATTGTCTTCAGTGGTACATGGACCACGACCGGCATTCTAGGCTTCAAATTTACTGTACAGAGCGAGCGCTCTCCCACGTACCTCGAATCCCGAGTGGATGCTTTCTTGGAGCAACTGAGAGGTTATATCACTGATATGAGTGCGGAAGCCTTCGACCGAGAAAGACAAAGTCTCATCGACAAGAAGTTGGACAAATTAAAAAATCTGCGACAGGAAACGAACCGTTTCTGGAGCCACATTCACGACGGTTACAATGATTTCCTACGCCGTAAGTTCACTGTTTTGTTCGTCAAGGAGATTCACTAAATGCGAAGTTTTTCCCTAGATGAAACTGAATGCGAAACTCTCAAAACGATCACGAAAGATGAAGTCCTTTCCCTCCTGATGACGCACATTCACCCATCATCTCCGACTCGCAGCAAGCTATCAGCTCACATCTACTCTCAAACTGTTCCATCCCCACGCATGTCACTCGCCGCTTCCGCCGAGCTTCTCAAACACCTGAAGGCTGCAGGTATTCCAGTCCAGGAAGGCCCATACAACGCGGCTGCTGCGATGCAGTTCTCCGTGGCGGTCAATCAGACCGCGTGGAGGGATTACTTCGACAAGGACATGCCAGAATTCGACAAGAAAGTCGCCGCCCAACTGATCACTCTCATGCCCAAATTAGCCAAGATGTATCCTCTCGAGGAACCCGGGTCAGATGCGCCGGCGAAACTCCCCGAGGGAACGATATTTATTGAGGATATTGCCGAGTTCAAATCAACCCTGCCTCTGGGCAAGGCGGCGCACCCGGTAGAGATTTATTCTGACTTTGGATCCAAGTTGTAATGCATGGACAGATAGATGTGTAGGGAGGTATTTGATTCGTTTTTCTAAATAGAAATGTTTTCTGCTTTAGAATCCATGCAATTTTCCATGACGGTTGCATCGTGTTCGTGTGTCACCAATGTGCAATGAGCCTGTATAGATTTCGTGTTCAGTACTGAAAGGAATGCGGCAGATCGTACTTCATTCCCATTGGTGTGCAAGGGCTACGTGTCACCGTTGAAAGGAATGTGCAGTGATTTTGGTCCCCTCACCGCCCTCAGGCCTGTTTGGACAAGTGACTCCCAATTGGAACCCCTTCCAACTCTTCTCAATAGAGTTGTCCCTGCTGGGCTTGACATGATTGCCGTCGTAGTTGCAATATCCCATGTATTGGCGTGTACGATAGGCACTCGTGAGCTTAGAAGCCCAAGGAAGAGACTACCATGCAAGTGGTCGGTGAACTGTTAAGCGGCACCAACCCGAGATGGATCAATGTCGCAGTTCGTTCAGCGGTTCCATACGTTCTAGATTACAACATTTCGGGGCACGAGAGCCCAAGGCCCCCAGGAAAGTTCACGAAGGGATACTCACCATTTGTTCATGTCGCCAAGTGAGCCATCCCAGGGGCAACCAGCAACTTCCATTAGCTCTATGCAGAGTAATTCAGGCCCCTTTCAAGTTGGAGAGTAGCTGAGATATCTTCGCCATTATTTTCTTGTAGTGCGTGGAGACAGGCGGGCTGATTTGGGTGCCTCACCATCTTTTCTGGGAAGCACACTGCTCACTGAAAGGTAGCGACTGAGCATACCAGATCACGTCGATCACTAACCTTTGGTCTCGCCTGGCCAAGACCGTAGAAAAATATCCCATGACTCTTTCAGTTTGGTATCAACCACTCCGCCGAACATGGTGTCGAGCTTTCCATTGGTGTTGAGAGTTGGAGTTCATAACACGCACCAATGCCCTATCGTCGCTTATGGAGATTTTGCGTGAATTGACAAATGACGCTGAAACGTGACGAAATGTTTCTAGGTGCCCCACCTCCGTGAATGGATGATTCGCTTGAAGTAAAATGGGCCCCCTCTGTTATAGAGAGGCCTTTGCAGGGAACACGGGTCACCATGAAGCTTATAGTAAGCCTACGAGTGAGGACACGAATACTTCGCCAGCAGACGCTGCAAACGGACGCGCAAACCGTGCGCAATAGCGCTGCCAGGAGTCCATGTCCGCGAAGCGCCTCTAGAAAGGCAAGGCCACGCGCACAAGGCCATGTGGTGGCAAATCATTACCAGACCCATGGTTAGAAACGCAAAAGAAATATGAAGCGCAACGGAACCGTCCCAGCGAAGGATAGTAGATAGACTCAGAATACAATTCATGATGTGAGCGTCACCGTCCTTCACATGTGCGACGCATAGGGGGAGAATTGGACCATGTCTCATCAGTGAGAACTGCCAGTTCTCCCTCTGAATAAGTATTCTTGGGAATTGTAAGGGCGAGAAGCATGGAAAACGGAGAAATACATGGAGCCTGGCTGCTAGGCATGCTGCGGTAGGCGGTCCACTCTGCCCGGAGATATTACGAAGAACAAGCAAGCACCTCCACACGCTTAAGGTTTCGGTTGTTCCAGAAGCTCATCTGTACATGTTTTCAGGGGATTAGAGGGAGTCGTTGAAGTCCTCAGGACAAGTGCTTGCGTTTCACTGGAGTTGCACTGGAGCGATTCCATCGGAGTGTGGGAACAACGCGTGACCTTCCTGTCGAAGCGCCAAGTTCAGCCTTCAGCATGCAGGCGCTAAGGAACAGCAAACCATCCTCAATGGTTTTTTTAAGATTGGGCTTGCGGGGAGACATGAAACGTGCGCCCCTGGTGCATACGCAATTACTAAATAGACTTGCCAGTACCTCTGCGAGTGAGTCAGAACCAGGCTCGTCTGCTCCGGCAAAAGCGGCTCCGGCTACGCTTTCATGGCCTGAGTACCTTAAAATTAGAAGAGGGAGAAGGATATGGGAATTAGTGCGTATGACTTATCTATGTCATAGGCCCTACTTTATTTGTTGACTATTTTCATTATCATTTGACCCGACCCTCATGGGTGTATCTGCTCCAGACTGCGACAGTTCCGATGACATTGGGAGCTTTTGGTGGAGGTTTATCGTATTTTGGCTCTATTGAGCCTGATCCCACTGCCCTAATTATGGGCCTCGAGCCAATTTGGATATATGCGTTGGCCACCTTCTCGTGTGCTGGTGAGTCCATATGCCAATTCTATCGCAACGATGTTTTATAACATTGGCTGGGCGGTATCTACTCTTCACTTTTATTTCCTAGGTGCCGGGTACCTCGTGGGACCATTCAGTCAGTCTCCGCTTTACTCGATGTTGTTAACCATCATCCCGTGTCCTGAGCACAATAATTTTCATTGTTTACTTGTCCTCTCTAGTCGGATCTACGCTATGGCGTCTCACGCACCGTAAGAAGCTATCCCAGATTGACTCCAAGGAGCGTGAATTCTACCAACATATTGTCCGCAATCGGGTCGATCCATCATCTCAGAGTGCTACGGTGAGTTCGTTTGCCAATTGCCCAGGGGCTGTCTTGAACCCAATGTTTTCCCTTTTACTTAGAATCCTGTCCCTGACTACTATGGTGAGTCGGTTCTGTGATGATGCTTCATTCGGTTGCTGACTTCATCGGTCTCTCTCCTAGGTGAGAACGTTGGATCAATTAAGCAGTACCGCCAGTGGCTCCGTGACCAATCAAAATATCGAAGGAAAGCAGCATGGCCAGAGCAATAAGCAACCCCCCCCCCCCCTTCCAGTAACCAATACAGCATCCCACCATTACACGCCCAACGTAGTTCAATAAAACACGATAACAAGCCTTCACTTCCTCTATCTTCTCATGCTTGCAGTTCTGTTGTTACAATGCGCATCACTTCGCATCCATCACAGTTAATGCAATGTCACTCAGATGGGGGTCGCACGAGGTTGCGAAGAGTAGCGATGAGATTCCCGTTATGCCTTGCGAGTGCCTGCTCGGCTAAATGTCGCGTTAATCCAAGTTCGTTGACCTGTAGGATCGGGGTCATCGTTAAAGAACGGGCACTTGGGACATGAAAAAGTGGGAGGATTAAGATGCGTACGATGACATCTATAGATTCTGCAGATTGTTTTGTGTCCAATGCAAGCTTTGGAGCTCTCTTCGGCGGCTCACTGAAGGCGCCTGAAGCAAATGCCTCTTCCATACGTTTCTTCGAGAATGTGTGCCCGTCTTGAAACTGAAACATCCATTATTCAGAGGCACAGAGCGGCAGAACAACGGAGAGTGGCGCTTACGCTTGCTATAACATCCGCCTCTGGTCTACCGTTCGTCGACATGGGTCACAAAGTATCAAGGGACTGGACTCGATTGAATTCAAACAGTACGGATGCTGCCGGAATTATTCCCATCTGTGGCGCAACTCTTTCGAGCTGCTCTCAGAGCATTCATATCCATGATCAGTACAGACTATTTTGCTGAACAATACCTGCATGTTGACAAGTTATTGTTGATGGGTATTCGGCAACACCCGGACTAACCATATAAATCAACGCGGAAGTTCGTTTCCTTCTCTTCACTTTGATCAAACCCCTCGACGCTTTACATCTGCCTCTAGTCAATGAGTCAACTAGAGGTGGTCATCACCGAGCTTGGGAATAAGAATGTAATTCCTTATATCTGCTTTGTTGTACGGGAATTCAACGGGAACAGGGCTCGCATGGGGAGTACAGTTGAGACATTTTTTGCGTCATTGTTATGTTGTTGCCTAGTTTCTCCGCCATCTACAACGAATGCAATGGCTCTATGCCTTATCACTTTGATACCTGTCCTTCTCACATGCGACCAATGCCTACAGGGTCTTGAGATCCAATCCCATGTTTCTCAGCCCTTGAATGGACTGTCCCACCTGTTCTTCTGTTGACTTTGTTAAGTCCACGGTGATGATGTTTTCTTCCGTTGCGGGGTCCGGCCATTCGAGTGTCGCGAGCTGGCCACCCAGCATCGATTCGTTCATGAAATGACCCTTTCGCGCCGACATTCTCTGCAAGAGGACGTCGTGCGGTCCATCAAGATGAATGAAGTAAGTCCCCACATGTACCCGAGGTGCTGGGTCTGAGTGATGGGTTGTTTGATGAGAACTAGAGCGTTCTGATGCGGGGTATGGATGATTGTCTGGTATCTCTAAGGGGGGTGGGATTGTGCAGCGCTGCTGTTCAGATGAAGGTGTGCGGAGAACATCACGATATCGCTTTCTCAGCGCTGAGCAGGCGATCACGATCACTTTGGATGTTCCCGAAGCAATTAGGTGTTCTGCAGTTGAGCGGATGAGAGAGAGCCATGGGTGTCGATCTTCGTCTGTTAATTGTTGACCCTGCGACATTTTGTCAATGTTTGATTTTGGGTGAAGATCATCCCCATCTTGGAATTGCGTATTTTGAATGGCACCCGCAAGGGCTTTGCCTGTGGTAGATTTTCCACATCCACTGACACCCTTGTGAGACGGGAATTAAGTGTTGAATGGGAATCGTTATCACCAGAAGACATCATGTACCATGACGATGATGAGCGCCCCCTTGTCCGCCGATACTTTTGGCCCGGACATTCGCAGCGGAAGCAATACAGGGAGTTCTGGATTCTGATAAGGGGACGTGACTGTTGACCCCGTCGCGCGCGGCAACAACCCCGCACTTTTCACATTCTGTAATACAGTATCAAGCATGCAGAGCAGCTCGATATGAATGTGACCGTCAAAGTGGACCCACACGCTCCTCTCAAACTCTCACTGATCCTTGTTCGTGATGCTGGTATCACCGAAAAATTTACAGCCTGGCCTTGCTTGACGATATAGAAATGAGTGGTATACAGCTCAATAACGCTTTTGAGCTACATTATTTTCCGGAACACTTGATGGACGGAAGGGAAGATCTCTCCCACCTAATCTGTGATATAGACTATTCTACCGGTATCACTGCTGGTGATGTTGATGCCAGGGCACGAAACTGGGGCGCATCGCATGCGGGTGTGAACTCTCCCTTGTTTTGGTGCGACTTGCGGTATTGATTGGGCGGTTGGAAGCCAATCACTCGTCCATACCTTATGGGCCACAGTTCTTTCGGAGCGCTGCATCGCGCTGAGAACATATAACAAACTTTTGAACTGTGTTGATGTTGCGATTGTGCTTGAATGCTCATTCACAACACCTGACATTTGACGTGGCTGTAGTATCGTTCTCGCTTTTCCCTGGCGAGAGACGGGAATCCCGTGGTAACGCGAATGACGTTGGGAACTTTCGCAGGCTCTGTGATGGCCTTGTGAACGTCAACAACTTTCAACCGAGTGCCACACTGCATTTGACAGGTACCAATGCGCAGGGTGGCACGTCGTACGACCACTTGGTCCTTTCTTTTCGGTTTCGATACCTCCCCTTCCGCTCGCCTTGGAGCTGCACCTCAACCAGTTGCGCCATCATTCGTCGCCGTGCGCTTACATCGAACCTAAGGTCTACGCTCCAACCCCCAACACACACAAGCTCAGCGTCTCCGACTCACCCAAAGTAATCTCTGTTGGTGCCGCCATAATATCTTTCGCGTCGCTCTCCACATGTACAGCACACACCCCCGCTAGAAGGTCCCTGAACCTGGATGAACGACCGACGCTGCGATTCGTTCAACACTCCCAGGACCCTCAAAGTCGGGAGCCAGATAACTTGCCCTCAATTTCTTCATTTCGCTGAATAATACGTGGCAATTCGTCCGCCTTGGGTGATAGTTGGCCAACTTGCAAATTATTCTGGGGAATATGAATGAGGGTTGGGAGCTGGACTTCATTAGCTGGATCATAATGATACATTTCTGAGGAAGCTGCTGTTAACCGTGCCAGGATTCTATATTCATGGCCTCACGGATGATTCTGCTGGAAACTTGTATGCTTGGGGAACATGGAAGGGCTAGTGGGCCTTACAAGTGATGATACTCCGTGTTTTTACTTGGGGGATCAGCTATTGCGACTCCTCTCGGAATGGCAGTTCTTTTCTCTTGACCAACGTAGAGTCATCACAGGGCCAGACATGATTAATGAATCAGGAAGGTCAAGCTTTCCAACCAGCCTCATATGCGTGTGCGTGTGCGTGTCATTTTCAACTGGGTTTCACTGTACACAATCAGTACAGGGCCGTGCTATGTACCTCCCATCTTACCAGCTCTTCAACCGTCTGCCAGTATCCCATCTATTCACCGTTTACCATGCAGTCGCCGGTATCCACAAGACCGCTTCATCCCTCGAGTCGCAATGACCTAAGTTTGAGGATCAGAATCCCGGATAATTAATCGGGCAGCCCACTAGACCTTGCTGTTGAAAATTGCCTCCCTGTGAGCGACGGTAGCGATGGTGCGTAGGGGCCGGAGGCGCTAAGCGCCCATTCAGATGCGCGCGTCTAAACACCCACTAACGATATGATGCCGGAGTTGAGTACGTTGAGAAAGAAAGGAAGACATGATCGAAACGCATACTTCAACGTAGCGTAGAGAGTGGCATATGGTAATCAAAGAGGTAGCGTAGAAAGATGAGAAAGGACCACGCGAGCGACTGCCACGTGTCAGCGCTATCCCCGCTGTCCACTCACGCGCCCGGGAGAGCCCCCCAGAGCTAAAGCCAGGGGCAGCTTCTGGACGACAGCAAGGTGGACTCATCCCAGAAGAACCAGCCGCATATAATCACCAGCCACGTCCCTGGTGATTTCTGGCTAGAAAAGCCAGCCCCCGGTGCTCTTCGTGATCTGCAGGACATTTTATCCAATGCATTACGAACTGCCGCGTTCAACGTTGGCAATACGCCCATGCACCCCACCTGTACTGAATTTCGAGCAACCTATCGAGGTTCAACAGTGCCAGATTGTTCTCCATTCATTGGATAACGTGTGTGCCCTCTTACCTTTATTCGGATGGTTGGCTTGAATGCGTTCGTAGAGGTTGCCATTGATTGGAGCCGAGTGTACCGTATCAGCCGTAAGGCTCATCGAATTCGGGTTGCATGGCTGAAATAAAGTAATATGGTGCCAACAACAAAACTCGTGATAGTCAGATGTCCATTATTGAGGACCAAAATCCTTTTTACAGTTTTGGCATGCTACAATGATGCAGGATCGAACCCAACAAAAGCGTCCTTGAATGCTTCCGCGTCTCGCGTCTCCTTATCTTCCGATTGAGAACAAGCCTTCCAGTCAGCACGATCCTTCAACGCAAGATAATGTGCAAGCGCTTCCCTGTGTAGGTGGGAAACAGTGTCATCAATGGCAATGTCGGTGATAGAGTGTGGACTTTACTCGCCTCCCGAATTGGAGATTAAACATCACTCCAGGCCTCAAGATATGCACCATCTTCCTCCCATCTGGTAGATCGACTCTAAAATAGCCCACCAGCAGCTTCGCCCAATGCCTTGACAGGATCATCTTCCCACACAACCTGTCCGCCCCCATAAGCGCTGAACGCCCCCTCCACCCCATCCTTCTTCGACTCGGGTACCGGTACAACTTGGATGTGTGCGTGTCCACCCTTTCCCGACAGTCTTGACATCTCGAAGAAAACCGGGACAGCGCCATATTTAGCATACATCGTGCGCAGAGCTGCCCTGTACGTGTCAACCTCAGAAAGAACTGGGGGCGCAAGGTCGGTCGGTATTGTGCTCAAAGTTGGATAGTGGGAGATTGGAATAATGAGGATGTGGCCGCCACCAGGCACGTGAGTCGGAGAAAGGGTGTCTGGGTCTGTTGGCAGAAGTGGACCTTTTGCCAATGTAACGTACACTTCTGTTCCAATGGAGACGATAAGATGCTTCCTGTAACAACCAATCAACACCAGGACCTGCTTTTTCGGTCCTCACTCACGACAATCCTGGATTGGATAAACAAAACCAACATTCGGCGGCTGTGAAGAGGGACACTTGAGTGACACTGGATCGAACATCGGCATCACAGACTTACGCTGTATTTCTCTCACGGGATCACGTCGTGGTCGTTCCTTCATAGAAGGACAGTCGCGTATTAAATGTGCCTCGCTTCCGCAAGCTCGGCATATATAGCCTGGCGGCGGCTTCCTGCCTCCAGTATCTCCTGTTGCGTACTTTTCAGGACAGTCTTTAATATAATGCTGTAGACACCAGATGGTAAGTAATGAGCAGCGAGCGGATCGAAAAAACTGACGTCCGCGGATTGACATATGCGACAAATATAGCCTTCTGGTGGTCGTTTTGTTGATTTTTTGGCTTCAGAATTGTTTTGGTGGACCGAACCCTGCTGATCTTTTAGGACTGTTGAGGCAAGGCCATTCTCATACGGAAGAACAGTAGAGCACTCGCCTCGTCGGGGGCGTTTCACCCGAACATCGCCAAAAATGAAATTGCCGCCATCATCATCATCATCAGTGGATCTTTTAGCACCAGTCCTCGAATCCAACTGGAATGGATTTTCAGTGCAATTGGCAGGGATCGATGGCTTTGGAGACAAGGGTGTAATGGGAGCGATGGAGAACGCATAAAACCACTGGGGGGATGTTAGTAACTGTTAAGAAGCGAATTAAATTAATGACCGACCCTAGGTTTTTTAATTCCAGAAGTGTCAGTAGGCCCACCAAACGCCCCCAAACTAATGAAACGGGTTATGGCATGACCGCCACTCCAGATGAAGGGTTCACGTTCCCAGAAGACAGCTGGACTTCCCCCTCCGGCGACAAAGTGATACCGCGGACGAGAGGCGGATACTACATCATCCAGGGGGGGAACCAAACTAGCACTGTCGATTGATGGAGGGACAGATTTAGATTGTTTAATGATTTTAGCCGGCCACCCGTGTGTCAACAGAACATCGATTTGGACGTTGGAGACTGATGACCTGAGTGACGCAAGAGTCATCTGATTGGCAGAATCACCAAGGGATGGTAGTGATGGTGATTTGAGGAACGAAGCAACATTTGCAGCATTGAATGTAGAAGATTCCGGGCCAAGGTCAGACCCCTCCCCATATGTTTTTGCATCAAACTGGCCACCAAGGCTAGCGATCGTCAGCTTTTGTGAGGTAGTAATTATTGTGGTTTTCCCTGCCATTTTCATGAATGTAAGCCGCCGTTTAGTGGAGACCGGCCTCACCAAGCAGATACACATTGTGACATATTTCGCCACCAGTTTCGGCCGTTTTCTCCAGCACAGGAGGGGGTATTGGATGAATCCCCTGAGTTACATATGTGGGAAAGGGCACTAGTGATATTCAATGGTCGTAGCAGGCCTGCATCAGCGAAGCTCACCCTCAATTTCGCCAGCCAGTAATTCCTGCAATTCTTCTTCACCACCCGGCGGCCCAAAAAAGTCCCCAGCGCACAAAAGGAGCTCAAACTTCCCATGCTTCGCATCAATGGCCTTAACCTTTTCGAATAAAGACTTGAAAGATCCAAGGGGTGAACCAACGGCCAATCTGGTTGTGCCATAAGTAGTCATTATGCAATATCCCGATGTGGGCGGGGACAAACATCTTAGTAGACATCCCTATCTTTCATCCGTCGACAAGAACGCCTTGAGGCCTGTTACTTGCGGCGACCGAAAGCAGTGTTTTCAATGGCGGAAATGAATCCCAGTAAGCGCCAGGTTGGGGATTGCAATTCAATACTGGCTACACGTGATGACCTCCGCGTTTTGTGTGCTGGGACGCCTTCGCCAATGAGCAAGTTGAATGGACCTTCTGATGCTTCGCAGAGGGGCTGGGTTAATTTGTCTGGGGCGGAGTTGGCACTAGAGAAAACTGGGCTGCCTATCAGTTGGCTTCGCAAGCCAAAGCTTCCTTCAAGAAAATGGCTCATTTTCTGGGGAATTGTTTCTACCCTTGGCTATCTCGCCTGGGACGATAAGCGGAAATGCAAGGCCATAAGAGCCGATTATATTTCTCGCGTCAAGCATTTGGCTGATTATCCTTTGGGCAGCAAGGACCATGCCCGAAAGGTGCAGGTTTATGCGTGCAAATGGCCCGGAGATGACATGGCCAATAGAAGCATGAAGCATTTTAGGAAATACGTTAAGGCCAGTTGCGCTTATGCTGCTGTGGAGGAGATGGGCTTATTGTCAATATTTTTTCAGCCAATCTTGCATGCCGCAGCTGTTGATTATGAGATGAGGAATGGGAATTATCATGGAGCGATATCTGACCTAGTCCGAGAAAGAGTACGCCAAAGACGGGAGGCGGATGCCGGCGCCACGGCTCCCCTGGGGCCATGGGATACCTCCAGCACCAAATTGGACATTCAGTCAGAGCGCAACCGGGAAATGGAAGAGGGTGTGGTCATCATTGGAAGGCACACCTTAAAGGAGTACATGCATGGACTCTGCGAGGGTTGGACGTCGTCTTTGGCTAAGGTGGACAAAGAAGAGGCCCTTGCTGCCCTTCTTGCCGAAGACGGTGCTTTTGACGAGCCTGATGAGGCTATAAACACTCGTGAATCGGATCCCCCCAGACCTTTCGCGCAGCCAACCCTGTCTAACCCCCCAATTCAACCCTCCCCTCTCTTGTCCATGGGTAGTTTACGCGGGCCATTCACTCCTCGGGCACCTTCAGCATCCCAAGAAACCTCCGTTGCTGATGCTTTACATCATGCACCCGTCTCCATCCCGCTCCAACCACCATTCCTCTTTGTGGAGTTTCCTAACCGTATTGGTTTTGAAAACATTCCCATGATGATATATGACTTCTTTAATGAGCACAGGCGGGTGGAGGCGGGGTGCGAAGCGGCGTATCGCCTCGTATTTGCCCAGATACGCCCATTCATTCCTCCGACATCAATAAACCGGACCAACGACGCTCCTGATGCGCCCACACCATTTCCCAGTCACGGGTTTGGTCTAGGGGGTGACCTTGACTTCGACCAGGATAAGGAGAAGATGTATGGCCGTGGATATCGTGACACCCTGGCAACTATCGCTGACGCTCGCAAGAAATACTACCAAGAGTTGCTTCGCAAGCTCGAGGTGACCCGCTCACTTGCACGAGGAGAAAGGGAGCCGACAAAAGACGAGAAGGCATATCCACCACCGACTGAGGTGGAACTTCGGGCGGAGCGGCTCAAAAAGGAGTTGCGGTGGAGAGAGGATGAGAAAGCCTATCAATGGCTGCGTCACGGCATGGGGGTCACTTGGGATGATCGATTCAATGGGATATTTGGTGTGTTCCGCAACCCTTCAGCGGAGGAGGTACGGGCTACCCTACCTCCTCCATCGGCGACTTCGTCGGATACAGCTTGACGGAAAAGGGCTACATTGGGTTACAGACTTGCTTCTCTTTAAAAGTACAGTATATAGTTAACTTTCACAATTACAATTTTCCCCCTTCCAATACTGTTTGAACTGTGGGATATAGGTGGTGTTACAAGAAATGGGGTTTGGGGGTCATCATACTCCTAAGTAGTACGTAAACTTGATCACGCAGCACCAACAGGGGAGAATGTTAGCGGGCTTTGGAGAGCGAGTAGTTATGGCGCTCACTGACTTTATTCGTTCATTATCACCTGCGTGGAGCGAGTGGTTCCCGTTTATACAGTGTCCGATAAGTGTTGAGCACATGCCCAACAGACAACTCGGATACTTGAACGGAATAATCCGTCAGAATACGGTACAGCTCACGCTCGGTAAATGGGAGGCGGTCCGGGGGCTGGTGTTTGATGACACTGTCCAAGTAAACTGCGGCGTCTGAAACGTGTCGAGGGGTGGGAGTGATTGCCCCCGTTGCTCCACGTCGTAACATGTCCATTTTCACACAAAACCCGTAGTTCCATGGTGCGGCTACGACTTGCAGCCCGGGCTGTCTGAAGATGGTCTCTCGTGGCCCACGTCCCAACACCTCCATCAATGACTGCCAATTTTCCCCCACGGGTAATTTGTTCGTTTGTTCGATTTTCCGAGAAGGGAGACCCAAATGGGCTATGGCTCCGTGCATGGCGACTTCGAGATACGTGCGATGAGAGATGGCAGGACCAAGAAACTCAATGTCGTCGGTTTGATCCGCAATTCGAAGATAAAGTACATCCACCACACCGCCAACAGCAACGAGGGTAGCTTCTGCCCCTTACGGGAGAGATAATCAGCTACATACTGAAAGCAGCGGATGATTTGATCGGATTTAACGAAGGCGCTTTGGGTTTCTCGAGTTGCAAAGGGGGCGTACGGCTCGGTGGCGGCGATCGTGACGCATTGTCCCATGGCGACAACTCCCGGGGTAACGAAGAACGCAGGTTGGGCTTTGGGATACGTTCCTCATATCTTATATGAAGACAGGTCGGCACGATGCCGAATGTAGAGATTGGGAAAATGGCTCTTGACACAAGGCATCGCCGGTATCCCGTTTTGAGCAGTTCTCCTCATATGCCTAACAAGTCGGATCACCCAGTAATAAGATTTGCGGTAACATAAATGTCCAAGAATGGGAGGTGAGATGCCAAAGTGATTTTAAGGGTGAGATACGCGTTGGCTTTTATGCATTGCCAGATTGCCTAAGCCCAAGAGGGGCGACTACTCGGACGAGTGACAAAAAAGCATAACCGATAGTTGAAAAATGACGTCGAAATCGCTTCCGCGATCTGCGATCTCTTCTGCTCGATATTATCTGATTTTGAGCCGAATGAAGAGCACAAAACTCGCGGTCAAGCGTGGATTAAAAATTTGATTCCTCACTTAGTATATACAATAAACTTCTTGAAACGAGTTGCATAACATGTTGCGGATCTGGGCGCCTGACGCTGAAGGACCAAGGGGCTGAGGAGGAACGATTGTTATCTGAAAGCATCGTGATCAAGGTCGGCGCGCCGAGGGTGGGGCTAGAGTATTTACTCATGGGCATTTGAAGGTCCAACCCTGAACGTAGTGGAGACAAGGGTGTATTGGCCACCCGGATGTTCGTCTAAATTGGCGCAACTCAGAATAATTGTCCTGACACGTAAAAGATAGGGAGAGTTTATGCCCAATTCAAGTGGCCAAGTGACTTGTAACGGGTCATCGAGGGGACTCTGGGACCACGTATTGGATTTGCGTAGGAAAAAACAGTCGTCCACGCCTACATCAAGGGACAAAGGGTTGTGACCGTGTCAGTCCAAATTAATGGGCCTTCGGAGATAGCAGCGGGAGTAAGTTCGAAAATAGCAATTGACGCGCTGGAACCCCAAGAGCAGGTGGGCGAATCTGAAGGGCAAGAAGCAAACACTTCGTTGTTGCTTACAGTAACAAGACACTAGAAACGGACATCTGATCTCGGGTAGTGGGTGTTATTTGGGTGACAAAGGGTAGAGTTGAGTATGCTGTGGACATAACTGCAAATGAACCATATTCATGCAATTGAAGAAAGCCAGGAGAAGACAGCGATAGTCTCGGAAATCGAAGCTGCTCGGGAATGACGGTAATTTCAGTGCATGAGACAATTGGATTCACGCATTGAAGCGGGAACACACCAGGGTTAGGCTGAGTCGCGGATCACAACAGCTTAAGATGCTGAAGCCGTCGAAAACCCTTTTTTCCAAATCCATATTGGGAGCCGGATAAACGGCTGGACGTTATAGAATCTTTCCCTCAAGCGGCCTCGAATCATAATTACCTACGGTGAAGGCACTTGGCTGCCTGGGTGTTCTGTAAAGGCTGAGCAATAATGTCCCAGGGCTGAGATGCTGCACACGCTGCACAGAGTGTCAGGTGGCTCAGGGTTATCGGCGACGCAGCAAGAGAGTATCAGGGCGTGGATGCATCATTAAAACCATAGGAGGAAAAAAACTTCATGGAGCCGGGCCGATGCCTATCAAGCATGTCCTCATTGCTGAAACGTTGGTAGTTGTTCGGCTAAGGTTGCTTTCGGTCGTGGGACCGATTTAACACAACGCCCGCTGTTGAGCAAGGGTCGCTTCTGCATTTCATGGTCGGATAGTAGAGGCCGAAAAGAATGGGAAGAGTTTGAATTGAGTACGCCACTAAATAGTCTGTTCGGAATACTCTCGGGCCATCTCTTATCTCTGGGATTTGTGGACTCGCGTAGGTGGGCGACGGCAGGAACAAGGTCTGTGGAATTAGCTCAATCTTGAAAAGCACGGTGGGGGTGCCATCTTGCACTTGAGGTACGCACATAAGACCAAAGCCCAAAGATCAGATTTAGGCTTGGTCACCAACTCTGGCATTAGAAAAACGCAATCCTATCGTTTCCTCACATCACTGACCCGGATAGAATTTGGTTAAGGATTGGTGTCTGCGCCAGCTAAGCCCTCCCTTTGCGACGGGCACTTGTGCAGAGACAGTGTGTCTACAGTTAGAGGCCCTAAGATCAGCCAGTAAACGAGAGCCCTAGCTAGGGATGGGTCCAAGATGGTGGGAAAGTTGGACAAGAATCAAAAATCTCTATTTCTGGGCGTTTGTGCCGGAAGACCATGCCCTAACAATTCGCCATACACCCTTCGGACCTGTCACCAGGCCAGACACCCGGGATCACTAAGGATAGCACCAGCAACGACGGCGCGGCTTCTTGCCCAGAAAAACCAGGATTTGGATTTGCCGCCCGTGACACGTTCTGCCTCATGTTGACGCTTATGACCTCCCTGCGAGATAGATTGAGACACATATTCGGCTAAGTCGGTTTCGGTTGCCCTTAGTGCTGATCGGCTCGGCAAGGTTCGGCCTTTTCTCTGCAGGGCAGCCCTAGCGGACTCGATTAGGTAGGGTCCCAGCTTCTAGACTCAATCTCCGACTTGCTTTTTTATTGGATATCCTGTGACTAACAGCATCCAGGCGCTTCGTTCAAGATGCTATCCATCCTTCCAGCGTCCCACCGAGGATCTTACCAGCGTTACTCGTATCTGTTACTTCGGACCCATCGACGTGTTCGTATCACTCACTGGCTTGACTCCTCGTTACTCGTCGTCGGGTATTGCCCCAAATGATACATCGATCTCAATTTCCCCCTCACCTTCCGTGAAATCAGCCCTGCGGATCTGCTCCGCGCCGATTCCCAATCCAAACACTGGGAAAATCCGGGAGCGTGGCTGGAAGGTGGAGGGATATTTCCCCAGGCGACACCGGGAAGGCATCGAATATTACTTGTGGCAGAGCGTTTGGTCGAATTGTTGTTGTGCCTGTTGTAGGGGCTGCGAACAGTCCCTACCATACACAGAAAAGGGGGAAGGAAATGCGCCCTTGCTGGTGGAGAAACTAAGAGGTACCGATGGAAATGGCTAGGGACTGAGAGTCATTTGCTGATCAGTGGCCGGATTGCGCGCGGCGAAATCTGCAGCTGGGAGCAGTGTCAAAAGTCGGTTTGATAAGCCACAAAGGGAACGGCCTAATTCGAGATGGTAGGAGGGTGTGGCCTACATCCGATAGTCTGGCCGATGGGGTGGAAGGCAGTTAGACTAGGCCGAAAGCGTGGAGAGGAGGCCGAGCGACGCCAGTTTATTGGCCCTTCTACGTGGGCAATGCACCAAAGTGTTGCTCAGGATTGGAACCGGTCAAGTCACTACTGTAGGAAGTCGCCTGCGAGACCACACAGCAATAATTCAGGCAGATAGTGTCCTTCACCAGTGGCGCGCTTCAAAATATTTATCAAGCCCACAAATTATTTTGAAAAAGACTTGAGTGACAGGAGGGTAGGAACATAGGTAGTTAGTGGAAGAAGGTAGCCGGTTCCGGCTATCGGAACCACTGCATTAGTTCGTCTTCCGGGGTAGTAGAACTCGTTTGATAGACTATACCATGAACCAGGATTTCGGAAAGCTGGATGGGAAAGCAACCAGCCAACGGCGAGGAGAAACTGACGCTATATGATGCATTGCTTCAAAGTGTCGTCCAAGGCTGGAGTGTCAGTCTGAAAAATCCCGGGCCCCATTAATTATGTAGGCGGTATGGGCTCCGGGCGCCCGTCCCTCCACGCGCCGCAAGCACTAATGAAAACGTCCTCGGAAAAGTGCCTTAGGGCGGTTCCTGGATTGGGGAGATTTATTCTCTCGGGTGCAAGTGGTACCAGGGCGCAGAATGCGGGCACAGTGACCAATTTATGAAAAAGCGACATTGATTCCTCTGTTACAGGCGAGGGCTTGGAGTGCTGTCTGACAATGGAGCCTACCTGAGAGAAAACGTAGGATATTGCTGGCTTGCGTGGCCGGCAGTGCGGCGGACAATCCATGAACTCTTTAATGGGAAACAATGCTTCAGAGTGTGTCCAAGGTCAGAAGGTCGGCTTGACAGGTTAGGCAGCAAATGGCGGGTGGGGATGCCTGGAGGCGGCCAACGAAGGGAAACTCAGTAATTGGATATGCCGAACAGGGTTAGGAAGCACGATCGAGGAATTGCTACGAGACAGGGCCAACGCATCTTGATACTTAGCGGTAGAGGGCAACCAATTCTTTAGCACAGTACTCCCTTAGAGTAGAGCACCGGGAAAGCTGTGGAAGATTGATAGATTGCCGCTAGCCGGGATCGTAGAGTGTCGAGCAAGAGGCAGCTATGACTCATGACTCGGTGACTCGGATAAGTTCTTGCTGAGCCTTCGCGGCACTAGGAGGGTTTGTATCGGCTCGAATTGGAGAGCAATCTGAGAGGAAGCGTAATTCGCACGCACCACGACCCTTTCCAGACGTCTAAGCTTGAGGAACAGGTAGCAGTAGATTCGTCCTAACCCACTTATCAGTCAAGGTCCACCGACAGAACGTTCGTGATCTGGAGAAAGCGACGGGCCATCGTTTTGTGAATCTTTTCCACCAAGGACCGTCATCGAGACCATTCTGGTGAACACGCATCAGGACAAAGTCCCGGAAAGAGTAGTGTCAATGAGATTGGTACCCGCATTTCACAAATCTCATAAGCTGAGCTCCGATTAAATTCAGCTGTGGACGACCGGACAACAGGTGACAGAATAATGCCCTGAACCGAAGTTGAGAGCGATCGCTCCGCAGCTATAATGACGCCAGCCACGATGCGGCGGTCGTGCGCAGAGTCACACACTCCCTGGCCAGGATAGAGGCGGACAGTTGATTCATCGCTTACTCGGCGGGCGCATGGTCATGTTGCAGATTGACATCGAGTAGCAGAAGTTGATGGATCCTTGCCATTCTTCTTCGGATGATCCAAAGTGTGCGTTTCCACATGAATAAACCGACAGCGAGCGACAATTTCATGAACAAGGGCGTTTAACAACAGGGCTGATTGGGCCTTGCTTAGTCTGGCCGATTGTGAATAGACATAGACGGGCCAATCCTGGGTCCTAGCATTGTCGGAGAGATTGATGCTAGACAGAGACGTGACGTTTTACTTCCTTGAAGCAATAAAGAGCTTGGTAGTAGTGGTGAATGTGGGGCCTCGTTGTGAGGAAGGTCGGCGAGTGGTTCAAAGCATTTGCTTTGCACTCATCAGGAGGATCAGTGACCACCATTATTGGCCTCTCAGAAGAGGGCAACCTTATCAGGAGAGGGTCTCACAGCAATGGATCTTAAAGGATGTATCGGCGAGATTGGATTCATCACCGGCGCGGATAAGGACCGCGATAATTTTCGCTCTTCAGTGAACCAGTCGCTAAACACACTGACCGCGTTCACTCGTTGTAGAAACCTGTTATCTCTCGATTTTCCATCTCTTGACAATGCATGCGCCGCATTGACCTAGCTGGCGCTGGCCACAGGAGTAAGAAACATGATCCAATTCTCGTGTGCAGTGTGTCGCAACACTAGCTCTGTAGATGCTCTATGAACCCAGCAGAAGCTCCTTCCTAACGAAGGCTTTCCATACTTCAATATCCAACGGAGTGAAACCCAAGTTTCTGACGAACAACGTGTGGCTCTGAACGTACGAGTCCCACCACGGGGACGTCCTAGGCGTTCAAAGGTGCTGCTTCTCGTACCGGTGAGGAATGCCGGTCGTGAGCTCGTCACAACCTGGTTAGCGAATGGAACCGCACGAAAATAAGTACTGGGGAGCCCCGAAGGCCTACCCCTCCTCCTTGTGGTCGAATTACCAGCGCTATAGTCTCTCTCGGGCCCAGAACTTCCCGAATTCGACCGCCCTTCCTGAATATCTATCATGACTCGAGTACTCAAACCGTTGCCTAATGAGAATCGCAACGGACACATCGCGAAAGGCTCGCTGAATTTCCCGCCTCGTTGGAATGGAGAAAGGGCGGCGAGGGCTGCTCTGAGCTTTGGGCCTAAGAACAGCACGAAGGGTCGCCTCAGTACGGCGACCAAACTGAACACGATCAGTAGCGATCAGTTTAGCTCTGAGGTGATCCAGGCACCATTCAAGTTGACAGTCTCCGCATCAGGGTGCTGGCTCATTCAATCGGGGATTTCCATTTCGAGAGGGCAGCCACGCTGTTGTTTACTTTCTCGTTGCGCGAGACTGTCAGAACTTGGGCTATCTTGCTCCACCCACGCTTGGGGTCACATCCACTCTCGTTCATCCCCCTACATTGGCCCCTCACAGGCCTCGTATGAATTTCGTCCTCAAATCGTCAACAACTCCTCCACGTAGATGCCACCTCCCACAGCATCTGACCTATGGCTCACCTCGCGTCGCTTTGGGTTGGTGATAGATGCCGGCTCATCGGGATCTCGGCTGCAGATATATAGCTGGAAAGATGCTCGTTCTGTCAGGCAAACCCTAGACCTCGAAGCCCTGGACAGGTTACCGCAGGTCGAGAAAGGTGTACCTTCTGGTGATGATTGGCTTCATAAAGTCGAGCCGGGTCTGTATTTAGCTCCATGGTGCTAATTCGTCAGTTCTGCTCACTCATATTTGCTTATCAGGTATCTCTTCATTTGCGCAGAACCCAATGGGTATTCCAGAATATCTTGCGCCACTCCTTGAGCACGCAAAGGACACGGTGCCCCCATCCTTACACCGAGAAACTCCGATATTCCTCCTTGCAACGGCTGGAATGCGACTTCTCCCCAAAGACCAGCAGAATAGCATAATCGAAGCCACGTGTATGTTCTTCCGAGCCAATTCCAGCTTCCGACTTGAGGCGCCGTCGATAATCGGACCATGTGGATCAAGCGTGCGAATTATTAGTGGAGAGGAGGAAGGTATATTTGGCTGGATTTCTGTCAATTACTTGATGGACGGCTTCACTGGACATGACCAACATCATCGTGGAACATATGGTTTCCTTGACATGGGCGGGGCATCAACTCAGATTGCGTTCGAGCCAGGCCCCTCGGAGCGTGAATCAATGTCTCATACGACTGCAGACACTTTGATTGACGTCCGGTTGCGCTTGTTGAGTGGAGAAGAAATCGAGCATCCCGTGTTCGTCACAACTTGGCTAGGATACGGGACGAATCAAGCTCGCGAACGATACATCGGGTCACAAGTGAAGAACTGGTTATCGTCCGGACATGGATCCACAAATTCCATTCCAGATCCATGTCTTCCTAAACAACTCAATATCCCCCTGTCACCTCAAGCCATTCCGGGGACAGATGCGAAGGCCGGGGAGTCCCATGAATTGATTGGGACGGGCTCGTTCGAACAATGCTTGGTGCAGACCGCTCCGCTACTGAACAACGATCGTCCATGTCCTGATGTGTCATGCCTTTTCAATGGTGTCCCAGCTCCGCGCATTGATTTCTCGCTCTCTAAATTCATCGGCGTTTCGGAATACTGGTACTCGTCCGAGCACGTTTTCGGACTTGGTGGAGCATATGACGTTGTTCAGTATGAGCGCGCTGCTATCGAATTCTGTTCGCGGGAATGGTCGGATATCGTTCAAGAGCACAAGGAGACACATTTTGACGAGTTTGGGAAGCCAATTCCACCTGGTACATGGGGTAAGGAAGTTGGTCTGAATCGTCTACAGCTGCAATGCTTCAAGGCAGCTTGGGTCGTTAATGTCCTCCATCAGGGGATTGGACTTCCCCGGATTGTTGACTCTGGGGGCAATCAAACCACGGGAGAGGCTGGTTCGGCTGATGAGAAAGCCAAGGCAAAAGGGCTTGGACCGAACCTCGTCGGCCCAGCCACTTTCCAGAGTGTCGACACTATTGGCGACACGGCGGTAAGCTGGACACTTGGGAAGATGGTGCTGGAAGCAAGTAAAGAGGTACCACCTATCAGCTTGAAAACTCCCCCCCTCCTTGACCCCAACCCAAATCGACACCCATCTTGGTCG